CTGCACCATGAGCAGAAGGCGGCGGGGGGGTTTCAGCAGCCCAAATTTTTCAAAGTCAGGTGTGCCTTCATCTTCATGGTCACTCTCCTCCCAGCCACGATTGTTCTGCCAGTCCGTGTTCCAATCCCAGCTTGTGTCACGCTTCCATTTCTTTGTCTCCCAGCCTTCATCTTGCCATGACTGAGGCTTCCAAATGTGGCCTTCAAACCACCCGGAAAACCACTCCCAGGGCATGCTGAGCTTTGAGCCGAATACCGCTCCATACCACAGACTGCAAGCAAGGGATGACCAAACACGCACACACAAGGCGAGCAAGAAGAAAGCAACATGCACACACACACACACCAAAAAAAACAGACGAGTCTTGCCTCCTCCACAAGTCGTCGTAGATCTCCAGGGCACGCGCGCAGAGATTCCATCACTTCATGCTACCAGGCTTCGGATGTGTACATCTATCATGCACTAAAGTCACTCAAGTATATCACAGTGAGCAAACCATTGCATCAAACATTTGTATATATATATGAAAATATTCCATGGCTTCAGCAGTCATGACAACCGCAAGCAAACTGCAATCATGCCCTGCAAGCATGTTGGGATAAAAACCCTGCTGCAAAGATACTTGAGCCATGCAGGCACCCAGTCTCATATTCACCACAAAGCGCATGAGCAACTGACCATGCTGCACACAAGCTGCACACAAGAGCACAATGCCCAAAGTCTGCCACGCAACCATCCAACGCATTTTCTCATCGCATGTTCTCCACGCTTGGAGTTCAAGCATGTGACACTAATTGGGCACGAATTGTCCAGTGTCCACACATGAATTAAACTCAACAGTTCCATGCCAAGAAAGCTACTCCAGCACTCACCGGACATTGACAAAGAGCAGCCCTCAGCTGCACGCAGCATAGGCCTTATTGCTCAGATGCTGAGACTGACAAGCACAGCTGAACAAGCACCAGCTTACATGCACATCCATGAACCTATATACTTCAGCATGCTGTCCAAAGCACAGCCCTTCCAGCAGCAAGAGCTTCATCAAGGGACCCTCCATTTGCTACAGTCTGACGCTTCGCATGGTGATAGGCATTGCTCTTTCGCGCGGCGCGATCTCTCTGCTCTTGTGTCAATTGCCTTCGACGGCTGGTGACCTTGGCTGGCCTGTTTTTGGCCGCTGGCTTTGCCTTTGCTTTGGCTTTCCTCGCCCGCTGAGTCTCACCAACCTTCCGTTTGGATTTAGCAACAGGTTTGGATTTCGCAGCGCCCTTTGCCTTTGCCTCGCCTTGGCTCTTGGCCACCTTCCGCTTGGGAAGTGCCTTCGGAGCAGGCGGGCGACAAGGCGCAGCAAGTAGGCCAACGCATTCTGGAGGCACTGCAATCACCTCAACTCCAGGCAACACACACAGTCCATGAAACAAGCACACGCTTGCAAGCAAGTAGCGGCTGGTTTGTGAAGCGACGCAGCACCTTCAGTCAACATAGCAAAGTACATGTAAATCCTTCGCGAAAAGAATATCAATTGAGGTCAGCGCGGGCAGGAGTGGCAACTGGTGCTTGGCGAACTTCATGGTCCTCACAAACCAACACTCTCTCAACAACAAGCATGTTGCTGCCATAGGCCATGAGTCCTGAGGCTTGACAGTAGTCTTGACTACCCCCTCCATCACATGCTCAGCAAAGCACCCACTCGTCTCTTTATCTTCCAGCATCTTGACTTCAACAGCAGCAGGCTTGTAAGGCTCTCCTGCTTGGGACATGGCATTTTCCTCATGAGGTGCTTCAGGCACAACATTTCCCATATGAGCTGCGTCACTCTCTTCTGCATGAGATACTTTTTGAGACACAATACCCCGAGGCGCACTTTCTGCATGCATCTCTATCTCCATGTCATGCCCAGCAATGCCCAAACCTGCCACACAAGTCGTCTCACTCTGACCAGTGCAGGGAAGTTGCTTCTGTTCTTCTAGCTCCTTCATACAAAGAAGCTCATTCAGTTCCCGCATCTCCTTCTCCAACTCTTGTTGGCGACATAACTTCTTCAACTCCGAAGTTTCCTTCTCCAACTCCTTCTGACGAAGAAGCTCATTCAACTCCACCATCTCCTTTTGTACCTCTTGCTGGCGATGAAGCTCAAACAACTCATCATAGAGCTTTTGCAATTCTTGCTGTTGCAGCAGCTTCAGCTGCTCTTGAGCCAGCTTACCAACTTCATCACGCTCCTGCTCCATGCCTTTTTCTTTCTCCAGCTCTTGTTGCATCTCCTTCAAGTCATCTTCGTCCTGGTGCCATCTGACCAGGTCCTTGATGTCGGTGCACTGCGACTCATCACTCTTGCCTCAATGCACAAATACCGCATCAATCCCCAGATCACACACAGGTGGCACATGGACAACAAGCAAAGAGCCAAGCCCAACACAGATCTCATCAACAGGGTGTGCTTGCAAGTCATGCCTTGGAAGCTCATCAGCGCCTGAGCAGCGCAACATGAAACAATGAAGAGCAGTCAATCACGCATTACAGGCCTCCCTTGGTATATAAAGCTATATAACCAACTACATGGATTTATCAAAACGCCTGCACTATGCCTTCACCATATGTATCATGCAACACCCCAAATATCAACCAAATATCCAGCTAGCTTTCACATGGTATAGATATTCCCCAAACATATTATCCATCAAGCTGCCATATCGAAGAATATCAAGCAAACATTCACAACATGTAGATATTCCGGCATATGATGCTACCCGTCAAGCTGCCATATATCTTATCCTTATCGATCAAGCTGCCGTATCAATCAAATATCAAGCAAACATTCACAACATGTAGATATTCCGGCGTATACATCACCCGTCAAGCTGCCATATATCTTATCCTTATCGATCAAGCTGCCGTATCAACCAATATCAAGCAAACAGTCTCAATGTATAGATTTTCCAATGTATACATTATCCATCAAGCCGCCATATATCTATTTATCCTTAGCGATCAAGCTGCCATATATCTATTTGTCCTTATTGATCAAGCTGCCATATCAACCGGATATCAAGGAAGCATTCACATCATAGATATTCCACTATATATATATATATATGTTGTCCGTCAAGCTGCCAAGGTATATCTGTCCATTCTTATCAAGCTACCAAGATTTTGCAAGCCACCATGCCCATGATATAGCAAGCAAAACATGCACAAGGTAGATGAACATGCTGTCATGACTGTCATGATGACAATCTGTACACACGCCCAGGGTTGTTGGTACAGGTTTTTTACATACCAGACGCGTCATGTTCAAAAAAAGTATACAACAAGCAGAACACGAACGTTCGACAAGATGGCCTGCACCATTGCCCTCATCAGCATTAGCTTCCTCATCTGTTGCATCATTCTCCTGAAGCAAACCACATGACCAACAGACGACCAACATGACATGCCCCAGCAAGGAAACATTGAGTGCCAAACAGTCTCAGCATCACTGGTGGAGCTCGAGCTGTCAGCATCATCATCTGGTGCTCCTCAGGCATGCGCGCACAAACTGCCAAACTTCATGGGCCGGAGATCATGATTTCCAGTCCTGGCACAGTCAGACCAGCATACTCGTACAAGTCTCGGATAGCTCTATCTCGAGGGATGTGCGGCCTCCTGAGTCAATCAAACTTGTGCCACCACATGTGCCACATGCGCCATACCACATGTATATTCTCTATAGGTATTGCGTCACATGTGCCACAGCCACAACGCAACATACACCACCAAGAATCTTGGCAACGCGAGAGAACAGGTACATGAGCTTCATGACGCACTTGGCATGCACCTTTTGCTTTGTGCCTCGGCACCAAGCAACACACAAGCACAATCAAAGCAAAGCATTCTAGCATTTCATGGGCTGAGTTGCTGCAGATTTCCTTTCCTCTCGGAAGGGTGAGCGACCAGAACTGGAACACTGCTTGCATCACCTGGTCCAAGCTCGGTCGCAGGCCCAAATGCCTTATAGCAATGCCCACCACAAGCTTGTTGTCCTTCAAGTCTCCTCACAAGGCAAATAAATGCACCACAGCCAAGTTGGCATGGGCACATATGTAGCTCCCAATTCAATAAGTGGTATGCGTATAAAATTACATGGTTATATATATATATGCATATTTTTGCAGCCACAACTCTTCTCGTCAACTTCGAAGAACGAAAGGAGCACAAGGACATCTTTTGTCCAGCTGGCGCAACCGCATCCTCGTTGGCCCATGCAGTGGCCAAGGTACCAGCCTGCTCAAACCACCCCATGCTTCGCACAAAAGTGCTGCTGCAGCCCAAATGCTGCGCAAGAAACTTGCAATATGTCCATGCACATGCCCATCCTCCAAGTGCTGCAAATTTCCCCACTCAAGCTGCAAACTTGTAGTGCAAAACAGATGCATGACACAACAGGTGTAGCAATGAAGAAAATGAAGCAATGCCCACCATCCGCACAGTATCCATGATGAAAACCACCAAATGTGACCAATCACAAGCAATGAGTGGGAACCATTAAGATTAGTGATGATTTTGAGCAAATCATGCAGAAATCCGCTCGATGAAAAAATGTGCACGATTTGCACCCTTACAGAGAAAAACGCTCGATGACAAAAGTTTGTACCAAACATACCTCGAGCAAATTTTTCTGTACCAAAGGGTGGTGCAGGATATATATATATATATATTACTATAGAACTAGATCTAGATATATGAACTATCTACTATTTCTAGATCAGCTTATATAACTATAGGCTTATGTATCTACTCATCGTTTCATACTGCCTGGGAAGGAGCTGTCTCTGTCAAGAGCATGCAGCTGGTCTTTTCCCTTTCCATGTCTCTGTCAGCATCCAGGTGACAAACCCCTCAACCCAAAAGGCTAAGAATATGCGACTTTCACGTGCAAAAAGCCCACCTGGCGTCGTTCACGATGGCTGCGCCGTCGTGAACCACGATGGCCGCGCCAACGCGCGTTCGGGCTTTGCGAGGTAATGGTGCCACAGCAGTGTGTGGCCAGGCTGATCGGCAAGGGCGGCGAGGTGCGGTTGGGACAGACTGGGCGAACGTGCGGAGGGGACTGGGCAGTGACTGGGCGGGCAATGGCGAGTGGGAAAGGGAATCGACCAAGGACAGAGATGAAATGAGACGAGTGAATGCCATGATGGAAGTCCTGGTTTCGGTTTTTGTTGTTGGGTGTTACTGGAGAGACTAGGTGACTAGATGGTGTGGGGGCTGAACAACATTAAACAACCTTGGCAATGTTCTGTCAGATGGAGTTGTTGGAATCCAGGTGATGTTGCCCATTTTTCACGGTGCGCCGGCATGACCGGTGCCGGTCTTCTCAAGCCAGACAGATCGACTTGCAATGGCCAGAGGTTCCAGGTGACGCCACAGGTTTCGGTGGCAGAAGGTACCGGCGGATCCTTCAAGCAGTCTTCTCAGCAAGGTGATGTTCAGATTGGGAGATTGATTGAGGAAGCCGTGATCGTACAGGCGGATGCGGCGGATGCCGGTCAATGTGATGTATGACGTGCGTCCGTCGTGCACCAAATTCACGAATTCCAGGATGTTCAATGGCGGAAACAATTGATTTGTACATGTCTCATGAAGTCTCATGTAATACTATTCAGTAGAAGTCAGAGATCTCCTTCACGTGGTCTATCAGGGAGGTGTTCGCTGCTCCCTGACCCAGGTAGTGTTCGACCTACCAAATTAGTAATTCTTCTCCCGGACCGACCAGCCAATGCCAATGCCCCGTCGCCCCTGTGGACCGTGCGGGGCAGGTGATCATGGGCATTTGCAATCAAACAGGTGCTTCCTTCGGGTAGGGAAGCTGGAGATGGTGGGACTCATGCTGCGTACTCATGGTGCTGCGGTTTTCGAGCATGGGCACTTTTCAGTCAGGGGAGGCCATTTGGTATTGACCCATCCAATGGGAATCACGGGGATTCATTTGGTCTTGTTTGTTAGGGCAGCAGAACAATATATAGAATAATGCTCTTGTTTATATCATAAGTCGAGTCATTCAAGAATGCAAGTGAAAGTCATATAAGATCCTAGAAGCAGCCATCAAAGAAGCAGCCTTACTAGACACACCTACTAGACGCAGCCGCAGCGATCGCTTCCCGTCTTCGTCTTCGTCTCCCGTCCTCCGACGTCTCGAGGTGCCGACGTGAAGATTCGCCAAGAGACCAAGGACTCGACGCTCCGAGCCGCAGATGATGGTGGCCTTGGGTGGCCCGGGTTGGGCGGTTTTTGGGGCCGGTCTTGAGAGAGAACAGGGTGAAAGAGCCGAGTGCCGGACCTTGGACTGAACGGACACTGTTGGGCAATGTCCATCCCAGGCCAGGCCATGTGTGGAGTGACCTACATTGGCGCCATCAATGGGGTAAATGTATGTAACATTGTGCAACTATTCCATACGTGGATGGTTTGGGCATGGACAATCACAGATGCTGGACGCTGTCCCTATGTTAGGAAGGGCGAACATGTGCAGGCTGTGTTGAGCTGTTTGTCTTTTCCAGTCATTGGCACTTGGGACTGGTGCTCGCTTGTGACTCTAGATACACTCCTGGAATCATGGGATCATAGATACACCAGCTATGATCATGGGATCATAGATACACCAGCTATGATCATGGGATCATAGATACACCAGCTATGATCATGGGATCATAGATACATCATCTAACCTCAACCTTATCTCTAGATACACTCCTAGATACACCAGCTACGTGTCGATAGAGGACACGTTCTTTCATCCAAGGGGCCATAGCCATCGACGGAACGATTCCAGGGAGCAGAGCCGCAAACATGTACCGATGAAACAAGGGGTCACCGGGTCACCGACCTATCGTCGAGATACCGACCTGGCCAGGCCAGAGCTGAAAACCATGGAAAAAGGCATGGATTTGGTCATATTTGATGAGTTCGATCTTCTATTATTGGAAACCAAATGACACCAAGAACAAACTGGGTGTGGATATTATGCATGTGACAGATGATTTGAGACCATCTTGTGGCCTCAAGATTCAAGACTTGTTGGGCAGGAGCTTGGCTATAGCCTGGCCATCATCACGGGGCATCCAGCATCTCGGTGCGATTATCGACATGACATGGAGGGTGGTGCGGATTGGGCGATGCTTTGTGATTTTCCCTGTGGATGAATCCCCTGGCATGGATTGGCATGGGGAATACCTACAACCTCGTCTTGGGCGGAAATTATTGCCTAATGAGGTTCCAGGTATCTGAAGCCAATCCAAGTTGTTGTTCGCTCCGGATGTGCCGGCCAGGGGTGTCCGGGCCAGGTGTCCGGCTTACTTTACTCCGTGGGGTATTCCGAGAATTTGGGCAGGTCGCAAAAGAACCCATGTGGGATTTGAGACGCAAGATTTTGAGGTCGGTTCTTTTGATATCACTTCCATGTCAAGTTTTGTTGAGGGGTCCAGCTGGTGAGGAACCCAAGGAAGCCATCGCGCTCGAACACTGCGGTGTCCATCAAAGATCCCTTGCAGGTCCCGGAAGACACTTCCTGGAATTACCCTCTCACTCACTAACATGGAAGTGGAAAATGGCCTCTTGGAAGACTACTTTCCTCTACACACAGGATGTGCCATCCACTTCCATGTTAGTGAGTCGGAGTGTATTTTATATAATCATGGTTACGTGGATGGCATGGGCCCGTTGGAAGACCACGTTCTTCTACAAGCAGGTGGGTTTTCCATTTCAGTGACTCAGAGAGTTTTTATTTTTTTTCCGTACAGACCTCTTTCAGCGTGCTGAAGCTGGGATTTCCAGTTTGGGACGCAGCCAGTCACTGGACCAGGCCAAAGGGAGGCCCTGGGAGTCCATGGGGAGTGGACCTGAGTGGACGTTTCAGTGCAGCGGCCGGATGATGGAGGATCGTTGAGACTGAAGGGTCCAAGATACACTCGTTCAAGACCTGAACATCACCACAGTTCACCACACATGTAATACCACATGATACATGGAAGTTGCCGGACGTTTCCGAGTTCGCTTCTTTGCCTCCCAAGCGAATCAAGTTGGCACCGATCCATCGACCTGTGATCCGCTTAAGAGTCACGCCGACCCGACTCGGAATCCGACCATGCCCTCGACCAAGCGCGACCAAGTGGCCTTTCATTTGGAGTACCAAATGAGTTACACTATGAGTTACATGCATCATGGATCCTCAGGCTGAGCCCGGAAGAGGTCCACATGTGTTATCCGAAAGCCATCGAAAACCGCGGGTTTGTAGAGGAAAAGTGGCCTTTCAAATTCCATGGGTCATGTTTTCGGGTGTAGATATTCAGATGATTCAAATGATATTCAATACATCACCAAACAAGCACAACCTGAACATTCAATCGTAGCACCTTTTTCTGCCGAACCAAGGACATGAGCACGTTTTTGAGTTTCGATTATGTTTGGTGAAATGATCACGTTTAATGTTTTTTGATGGAAGGAACATATTTTCAAGATGTTGAACACTGAAGTCTTCTTGGGCCAAAGGTGGAAACCCGCAAAACGTGTACATTTTTTGTAGCGCTTTTTGCTTGAATGACCACTTTTTCGAAACGCGTGTTTTTTTGGTCATTAGCGAAGGAAGCTTCAGGAAGTACCTCCGCATACAGACCACAAGCTCAGCTCCCCAACCCACCACCCATCACCCCTCTTCCAACCCAGCCACGCCCTTCTCAGGATGCCATGGACGCCGCCGAGCGCTTGGTGAGGTGGTGTCCTCGGTGTTCTTTATTCTCCAACGTTTCGGGACGACTGGTGCGGAGCGTGCCTGGATGGTGACACTGGTCCGACTCGGATGGGGATTCACCGACATGGATTCATCCAAGACATGCCGTGTGCAGATAGAAGATCGGAACAGCGGCAAACCTGGATCAGTGCGCACATTTCAAGAGCCGGATCTTTTGGTCGACAAGACTCTCACCAACCTGTTTCTTGGGTCAATGTGTACAAGTCCCAAATCGAAGAAAGATTGACGGTCGCTGGATTCTGTCAGGTGTCACTGCCCCGATAGGCTTTGGTGTAGACAAATTGCCATCCAGATTCAAAGCTGCAGAACATAATATTACTGTAGAACATATATGGTGCACCTCCCCTGCAAGTCACACGACCTTCCATCAGGTCCCAAGAAACAATTCCCTACAAGCCCAAAGACCCGGTACAAGGAGGTCAAACTGACCCGGAAAATACATGGAGTTCAACTCCAAACATCAGAGTCCTGTTAGAACCTCACGTCGTGGTCGCCCGCACAACCTCACGACGTGGTCGCGTGTCGCGTGTCGCGAAGGCAGAAACTGGGCCTCTCTGGCACGGGCTTTGCCTCCAAGGTGCCACGGGACTTCGCGGACCGCACCGCGAAGTCGCGGAGACGTGGGATGAAAAGATGGTGGATTTTTGGGGGTGGTAAAATGGGTACCTGCCGTTCCTGCCGTTGTAGTCGTGCTTTTTGCAACAATCACTGGGTAATCGCTGGTAATCGTTGGAAAGACCAATTGGTTGGACAGACATTGGGATCCAAAAATATGTGGCAAAGACCTCTGAAGGTATACCTTCGGACGTCCAATTCCTCTCAACCTCCGCTTTGCATCGCTAGCGAATCGCTCGCGATGCTAGGAGCTGACCGTCCAGTCAGAGCATGTGCCCACCATCATGGGGGCAAAGGCAGGGGCGGCGAAGACCCGCTGGGATGTGTCAACAAGTCATCGTCTTTGATCACCCAAGACTGAGTCCAAGAGGTTGTGCAGGACAGCTTCAAGAGCATGGACGTGCCAAGAATCTCTTAAAGCGTTTGCCTCCAACCTAATAGCTTTCTGGGGCATCTACCCTTCATTTAGAAGTTGAAGATGATTGGATGGCCGAAGCCATCTGCCAGAAGCCGAAGCCATTCCAACCAAATGAGCCAGCCGATCGCCTACGTCCCATCCTGCCTGAACCCCTCCGATCGCCAAGCTGGCTCGTTTTGCCAGGGTGGCAACCTGGCACGGATCCGGCAGCAGGCCGGGAACTTGGCAGCCCGGGCACCTAGATCGGCGACTGGCTCACATTAATGCAGATTATTGTTCAGAAGCTGGTAAGAAAGGGGGGAAGTCTCCCCTAGTTTAGCACACTCCCATTGGATTTGGACAACAAAGTTGCGCAACGAGAAACTGGTGGAGTGTTAGACACTCCCATGTTGATACATACACACAAATTTTTGGTGGAAGCATACGCTGGATCCAATTGCAACACAGTTCCAACCGTGCTTGCTTCCTCCACTGAGATTGAGCTCAGACCTCCTGACCTTCCTGGAATGGCGCAGCTCGGATGATCAAGCCCAGGGCAGGGTCGCTAAAGATGTTTAAAACCACCGGTTCCTGAACACCACCCCTCAAAAAATCCTCCCTCCAAAAGACGCCTGGAAGCCATGCGACACCACAAACAACTACCCTACCTGGACCTTCCAAGGGTTGTGAAAAAATGAGATGTAAATGTAGTGTAGGGTAGTCCATTGGAGACCCCTTGGAAGTTGCTGGAAGTATATACATAATGATATCTATTACTATTATCCCCTGCGGAATATCCTCTATAGAATCTGGGAGCTTGAGCTCAAAATGACCAATTGATTTTATAGACAATTTTCTTATAGAAACCAATATCAACCTATCTGAAAGACCACCACATTTTAAACATGGGGTCCAAAAAAGTCAGCTTGTTCTCTCAAGATGGTTACCGACACTTGATTCTACAGAGAGGGCATGCCATGTCACCAGATTTTATAGAGGTCCTAACATGTGATTCTATAGAAAGCATCTGGAGTAGTGGATGGTGTGTTGTGAGATCAGGTAGGTTGATATCTCATTTTCAACCTTCATATGTCCCCACACTTCTCATATGTCCCCACTTCTCTATAGAATCAAAACCTACCTTGGCTACGCATCATTGATTTTCCCATGTTTGATCATTTTTGCTATTTTTTCATGATCATGAACACCCATACCCTGAGGCACTTGATTCTATAGAGAACTGGTTTCCAGCACTGCAGGAGGTTGATGCTTGATTCTATAGTGGGGCAATCTGCCCTCAGAGCCTGGTTTCTCGTTTTATAACTTAGTTTAAATCAAATCTCAAAGCACACCGGTAATTCCACAGGTGATTTAGTGTTAATATGCCGCAAAAGAGGTTTTTGCAGCAGCAGCCTTGCTTCATGATGGTTGATGTGCACCATCAGTGGACATGCATCTTGGTGCCTGCAGTGACGGACCCCACAGTCATTCATGGCAATTTAGTACATCACTTATTTTGCTCGGTTACTGCCGTGTTCAATGTTCTGGAACATCTCGGGATCGAGCAGTCGCCCACGAAAGAACCTTGCTGCCAAGGCACACAGCCATCTTGGGGCCTGGCAGCCAGGAGCCATGCGGAGCCATGCGGAGCCATGGAGAGCCATGGAGAGCCATGGGCCTTGAGTGTGGAACTATTTGGAACTGATTTGGTCACTGGCTGCACCATTTTGTTGGTGATTGGCTGAGTATTTTTTGGAGTAAACCACCACGGTCTGAGAAATAAGGTAGGGTAGGGAGGGAACCAACTCATGTTGTAAACAAGTACTCAGCATGATGGGTACACCACAAATGGTGTGTATATGTGTGTATACAGCCCATGAGGTTGACAGCCTTTTGCTTCTGCAAGGGTGTTCCCTCAAGACATACCAGGACGCTCCAGTCAATGGGTGCTTCACAGGCAGCATGTGATCTCTGACTGGAACAATGGAGGGACAGAATTTTGGAGAGTGAGATCTTGTGGTTTGTTGGCTTGGGTAGACTGTTTCTTTTTCTGTTGCGATCCAAACCCAGGAGGTCGGAACACCGAACGGTTGGTCTCCCTCATAGAATTCGGGTGCACTGGGCCATGCGGGGTCTCAGATCGATTGGAGGTGAGGTTCAAAGACGGGAGAGGGGTATAGAAATCCTTTTGAAACCCCGTATATAATTATAGCTTTTGAATGCCATTGACAGTGCCATTGACATGTTGGACTTGCTCTTGACTTGTGTTTGAGATCCAAGAGTGGCAGGAGCAGCTGATGGTGGCTGAGCAGTTGATTATGGCAACCCTCGCAGAGGCCATCATATGTAAAGATGTGCGTGGGAGTGGAAGGGTGGTATGTAGGATCTAGAGAAAGGTGTGATTGATATTTCATGGACCTATCACAGACCCTGGAAAGTGATATGGACCTACATGGATCAATCCATCAATCCTCCTATCTAGAGAAAAGGTTTAATGTAGGCTCAGAATGGTTACATTTAGAATAGGTTCATCGACCGAAGCTGTTGAATTGGACGGACCCATAAAATGCATATATGGACGGATGCAAGGTTATGTTCAGCGAGTTGAAACAAACATTACACTCCGAGTCAATCACATGGAAGTGGCTGTGTTGGTAGAGGAAAGTAGTTTTGAAAGGACTTTCCTTCCACTTTCCATGTGATGTCTTCGTCTGGGAGTAATCCAACGAGGGGCAATGCCATCGGATCATCCACTTCGATGGTTCTTCCAGGGAGTATCATGTAGATTCTTGATCCACGACCCCCCCCATATGAAGTCAGATGAGGCTTTCACAATTCAATTGGCGGGGGGTATTCATCAAGAGTGTACATTCAGGAGTCAACGTGACATGGACCGCTGCTTCTGTGGACCTCCGCCATATGCCGCGCAACTCGCCACTCGCAGCCATATGCGCCTTCCAGGCGGCCGTGGCCACCGCCATCTCAAATCGATGAGGCGAATGAAACGGGTGGGGTTTGAGACGTGGCATGGCATGGCAAACAGACATCAAACTACCGGAATTCGGGGATAATTAGACGAATGATGATGAATGTGATTTCTGGACCGAAGAATGGCTGACATAGCTTTAAGATGCTTTTGGTATAGTGCACGGTACTCGGTATATATCTAAAGCGACACTTGAGAAGATTAAGATGTGTTGACGGCACTTTGGAACAAGGGATGTTTCCTGGAGGGCAGGGAAAACCCCGTCGTCCACTCACTTAGGGTCCAAAAAAAACCTTTGGAACAGAGGTCTTTGAGACTGTTTCTAATGCGGGGACCTGTTGCGTGAAGGATCTGTAGTCGGGCTAGAGCATCACTTGGTTCATCTTGATACCTTGCTTCGTTTGGACCTGAAAGAAATTTGTTGAGCCAGTTCCGCCAAAAAAGCAGGTGTTTCTTGTATCGACACAAAGGCAGGAACCCAGCAATTGTACTTTTCCTAACTTTTCCTATCTTTGTTCTTTATCATTCAATGTAGCGTTCATCATCGATGCAGAAGTGTTTTTGACTCCACACTGTGGGTTGAAGAGTGTTCCATTTCCGAACCGAAAAACACGTGCAGCTTGAGTTAGAGTTACTTAGAAATTAAACACATAATACAAAAAAAAAACACATGTTTGCCCGGGGCGATGAACGTGAACACCGCGTGTTGAGGCGATGAACACCACGAAGCCCCTGCGGCGGAGTTGCGCATCCCGCGGGAGGGGCGTAGAGATCGGGGGCTCTTGCCGGGTGCGAAAACCGGAGTAGCGAGTCATTCGCCGACTGTCACAAAATTGCTGCCGGAATGCTGTCATGAAATGGTGGTGTCGAAGACAATGGGACTGGACCCGGTTGAAGCTGGTGAAGAAAAGGGCACACTCTTCCAAAAATCAAGAAACGGTATGGTCCAAAACTTTGATAAATAGGGATAGTTTTCTACGGTTCGTGTTGCCTCTCCATTCTTTTCAAGAATTTGTGTATATTGAGTTTGAATGTGCATGTTAGCCACTATCTATAAATCGCCTTCCCAAAGCCCAACGTCCAACACTTGGGGTATCTTGGGGCCCTTTGGGTTCGCATTGTCTATCTATTTTAAAGTTACATCCATGATAGGGAGATTCTCGGCTGAGCTCCCAAGCGCCTCGGACTGACCGCAAGTGACCCGCCATATGGTGCAGAAAAATGCAGAAAAGACGTTTGCAGACCAGGGATGAGCAGTTCTCTGTGTGAGTTGCATCGCCAAGCCAGAATTCAAGAGATGTTCACATCCCCGTCTCTCAGTTTTGGATGTCAAGATGTGTTTTGGATGCCAAGATTTGTACACGAACGACCCGCCATCGGTTTTCGATGCTTTTCTGACCCATTGGGAGACACATCTTTGCAGACGTTGTTTTCCTAGAATTACCGGAAGTAGGTGGTGATCACCTGTGCGTTGCAGGTGAGGTCAGTTTTCTCAACACTCAAACATGTAACCAAAAGCAAGAGGGTGGTGTTTTTTTTATCCGGTTCATCGTTGCAATTTGTTTGATGTGAACTCGAAGAGCGAGGTGCGCGCACTTTGGCATGCAGGTCGTCATGTGTTGAACATTCAGGTACCAGGTAGAACAGCATTCTCACTGCCAGGTCACCCATTGAGACCTCACTGCCAGGGCCCTAACACCCACCAACCCACCCATTTCGGAGACTCGCCTCAGGCGTGTCGTGCAAAGGCTTCTGAACATCGGAGCGAGTCGGGGCATGGCCCACTTCATCCCAAGCACCCGAAAGTGGGTCTAGGGCTCTAGGGTTGAATCTGCCGCAGCTTGGCTTGGAAGTTCCATAGATTCAGAATGATCCATGCAGCTCCATGCGCCTCTCATCGTCCATGATTCACGATGTTCCCGAGCAGTTATTGGAAATGATCACACCATCACACGCCAAGTCCCAAACGCGCGCTGGTCACCCCAACGGAATTTCGGGGTCCGCGGCCCGAAAACGGCCCGAAACCGACACCGCGACGCATGGCGAGGTCGCTCCGAAGCCAGGCGGAAGAGCCGGGTGCAGGGCGATTCAGATGACTCCGGATTTCCGGATTTCGTCACACCTCAACACAGCGGGGCGATTTCGTCCACCAAGAACATTTGGACGAAAGAACCTCCGGGGCGATTGGAGGTTCTGGTCTCCGGGCGCAGACTGGTTCGATGCGGTCGCAGTCGTTCTACCCAGCCGACCAGGGCGAGACCTCGGGTGGAATACGCAGGCTGCAGGTGTGCTGCACACCCACTGAATTCTTGCATGTTGACCAACCCATCTCGCTCACATGCACTTTAAACGCTATACCCCAGAAACGTAGATAAGCTTTCATTTTTGAGGGGAGTGTTTCTTTTTTGTTTTCACTAAACATGAGCCGGTGGAAAAAGGCTAACCTTATTTATCTTTTTTTTCCAGGGAAACTGTGGGAGTGAGATGGAGTGTCAATCCCATTCATAGAAAATGTACGGATGCTCTTCCTTCGTGCCCGACCACGTGGAAGCTTGGTTAGCAAAACCTCAGGATCCTCAGGATTCAAAGGATCTTGAGCAGTTCAAATCCCAAAAGCCCTTTTTTGGCAAAGCCCCATGTTGGAACCATCATGTGGGAAGACCAAGCCGTTTTTCAGTACTGGTCCCCCTGCTTGCATAGTATACATGTTTTGAAGAAACACATACACATATATTTTTTGATTCGAGGGAAACCTCCCACATGTGAAAAATACACTTGTACATATTAAAACGACTGGGCAATGCTCAGAAAGCAAGCAGACTACAATAGACTACATGAACAGACGACAAAACAAGAGACACCATGAGACGTTAGACGCTTTTCTCCCAACACAACAGCAACAACTAATTCTCCAAAATCCAAATTCCCCCACAAGCCCTTCTAATCTTGCGCCATGATTGTGTCAATTGCAGCATTGTACCCCATAGATCCCCATAGTGGGTACATGTGGCCTGTGCATACGTAGGTGTGGCCTCGAACCTTGACCAGCCTCTCCCCCCCTTTGTTTCATACATGTTGTTTGCTTTTGCTGACCCTGTCCCCCCTCATGTTCATTGCATGTGTGTACCCACCCCTATGCGTACAATTAGGGTCTTGATGTCCCCCTACCTTTCAGACATATCCTGGAACAGGTGCTTCCAGAAACACCGAATCCGAAGAGAACAAGAAACACATAGATTTCCTCGAGACATCATTTGGTCAGTTTGCCTTGTGCTACACCCCTCCTGTTTGAATAAACTCGTACACACCTGTCCCACCTCAGCTCCAAACATGCCAACACATTTAAATGAATTAAATTCATTGAAATTCCATCCCCCGCTCCCTATGTAGAGTTGGACCCGGTGATGAGGGGGGTATATTCCAAGTCTTCTCTTTTCCAAGTCCACAATTGAGGGAGAACTAATAATTACTCATGATGGACTACTTTGCTTCATTAGATGAGAACATTCCCGCGTGGCGCGCATGTAAAAGCTGCAAGATGAATGGAGGCGCTTACTCTTTAGGCAACACTCTTCACGGTGACCGCCAGGAGATGCCGCTCGAGAGCGCAGGTCACGTCGATGTGGAGGACCCTCAGGCCGTCACGGGATTTGCAGCTTTGGTGTTCTTTTTGTGACCAGGAAGATGGATTCACAATTTGATCAACTGCACCTGAGTCAACAGTACTCACTGCACCTGAGTACCCAAGAAGATGGGGGAGATGTCAATCTTCCGTGGATTTTTTGCCCTGTTGGAGCAAATGGGTCTCAGGCGGTGCTGGCCGAAGCAGCGCAGAAGGGATGGCTGGACACTGCCAGAGCAATGCTGGCCAAAGGCGGGGGGGGGTAAGAACTCCTTTGAACTGGTCCGGGTGGTTTGAGAAGAGTTGTTTCCATCCTGATGGTTTTTGAATGGTAACGTCAATTGACCATGTGCTGGTGGAATTTGACATCCGATGCCCGCACCTCCTGAGGCAGCACTCACAATTTGTTTTTTGAACTCAATTGCGCGATCATCAAGTTTTAAGAACTCATTGGTGATATGGGTATGTCTCATTCGAATAATGTTCTTGGCTTGGCTGGTAAAGTTGTGTCTAGGTCTGGTGAAGTTGTCTTCTTCATGTCTTTTTTGTGAAGAGACTCACCCCTCCAACTTGCAAATGGATCATCCCTTTGGACGGCCGAAAAAAAAGAAAAAAACACTCATCGGTATACCGAAGCCTTTCTTTCGACATCGGATCCTTTCCACCTGATGTTGTGGGGACGGGGAGTCACTTGCCAAGAAACCCCAAACCCCCGCCGTTTTGTGGTGCAAATCCCTGGTTATCGAAGCAGACCTTGCACATTGATCGGGCCATTGTTGGTCAAGGTGTGCATATGTCTATATGTTGTATTTTTTTTACATAGTATAATACAATATGTCTATATTAGTGTGTTATAAGTTTCATGACATGCATCCATGAAGCGTTCCATGAACGGTTCAAGATGCTTCAATCACCCATCTGAAAACTAGACCAAAGTGCCGAGCTTTCAAGATAATATATAAATCGACCAAGGAGGAGATTTTGCACAACCTTAGAAAAACACACACTGTATAATGTATAAATATATTTGTTGATAGTTGTTGGTTTGGTGCAGGTTGTTGTTCTTCGAACAGTAGTTGAGGGGCAGAGCCTGGATTTCTTCCTTGCTTTGCACCTGGTGCCGGGACGCTCAGTGAGGTGCCTCTCCGGACGTGGGTGCCATGCCTCCCTTGTGTTTGGCAGCTGAGCAAGGGCACTTGCAACTAGCACCTTGGTGGCCTCGAGCGACGGGACGACGTGACGAAGACGAGTTGTCCGAGCCCAAGTCCGGATCTCGTGCCCGACGGGTAGGTGGTTTTTTTGGATGGTGGCCACCGAAAAAAGTAATGATTCCTGGGCATGTGGACATAGGGGGGTCTAAGGTAGGAGCCATGTTTTTGGGGTGGATTGTGGACTGCCCACTGAACTTGAAGAGGCGAACCTTTGTGTTCCGGGTGAGCCGACTGAGGGAGGCAGCTATATAGTAGTCGTACCTCCAACAACTTGCCAAAGAAACGGCAGATTCCCTGGATCATCAACATCGGAATCCCTGCAGTGCCTCTCAAGAGGATGTCCGGGTTTCTTGCTACAACACAACTCTTTGATGCTTTCGGCTCTTTTGGTCTACCTGGTTCGATGTTGCCTTGGCTCGAGATTCTGGTCGCTTGTATTTATTCTGCTGCTGCTGTTGCTAAAGTGTGGTACTATGTCTGGTAGAGACCTGCATACAATAGCACCATCCATTGTCACTTAAACTATTCCCAGTCCCTCACCCTCAACGCATCCTCGGGCATGGCAGTTGATTCCTATTCATGGGCTTCAATGGATTTTTTCCGGGTGTTCGTGGGTTCTCCATGTCAACACTGACCAGGTCTGGTGCTTGGTGGATGCCTCGGCCGACAAGGAGCTGGCCGACGTGCACTTCCGCCGCACGCCGCTGCTGTGGGCAGCACACCAGCAGCACGGCGAGCTCCTGCGGTTCTTGTCGCTCGGATTGGGTCGCCGGGGGGACGAAGGTCGTTGAGGTTTTGGTTGGGTGGGATGGGTGCCAGGTGGATCTGTGACCTGACCTGCGGATGTGGGACAGGAGCCCACAATTGATGAGGCATCAAAGGGGTCCAGAGTGCACGGTTGCTGTTGAAGAAGAACTTCGCACTGAACCTGATCATGGGAAACACCGCTGTTGTAGTTGTAGTTGATATTCCTTTGTGATTTTGGGCTGTCGACAATTTACTTGGACATGTCTGCTCTTGTTGGTCAGTGTTTGCAGAACTCAATGACAAGCGTTTGTTTTTCTCCTGCACTGCTTGGAGGAACTTCTTAGGAGTTGTGACCAGAGTCGTTCTTGCTATCAAAACTCAGCCTAGATTCTCGCACAGTTCAGGTTCGTTATTTGGATTGCCACCTCAGCTAGGGTGCCGTTCCAGAATCTTTCGTATCTTGCGATGAAGCTTCGAAGCGTGCAATTTCACCTCGCCTTAGTTACTGGTTACTTCTTAGTTACATAGCATATTCTCAATTAAAGACAGAACACCATTAAAGTCCCGACCCATTTCCTTAGTTACTGGTTATTTCTTTTATGCCCTAACAGATCCTAACAGAGCCCTTTTGACTTGTGACCTTTTGGGACTGATGGACTTGCGAAGGTTGTGAGTACCACCCGTTTGCCAAGTATGATTAGTCAGCATGCGAACGTAGCCTGGAAAGAATATCGTTGACCATGATCAAGAAGTGCACCTCCAGGACATGTAGGCCTGATTGTCCCAATCATTGTAAGGTTGTACAAGGCCATGACATCATGACATACCGTTTGACACGCTGCCAGGGTTCCACTGACTACCTTTGCCGTCCATGTAGACGGTTCATTCATCCATTTCCGCCCCCAAATATGGGGAATATAATATATATACGTATGTATATATATTAATAGTCATCAACAGTCTACATTAGTGGACTTGCCAACTGTAATTTTGACAGCTGATGAATCAAACACCCGGTTTTGCACCTCCTGGCCCGGCGGTTTTTGATTCATCCACATTGAACAGTCTTTTGAATCTGCCTTGGGAGAGATTTCTCCCCCCATATCAACATAAAAACTGTAAAAAAATACACATCGGAGATCCAGGTTGGATCCACCTGGACCATTCCTAATCCTTTACAATGGGTATACGGCGTCAGACCCTGTCTCGACCTTCAGCCCGTTGTGCCGGGCTGGCAGGACACGTTTGGTGGGAGCCCCCAATCGAAGTTATATATTTTTAAACAAACGGTATGTACTATACAGTATTGGGGTAACCAAATATGTGTTGTAGATGTGACATGGTTTCAGCTAGTCAATACTACCTGCACAACGAAAAGGCTTGTTTTCTTGTATGAACGCCATTGTATGATTTAGGATCTTCCCTTTAAACTATATACTTATTGTCCGACTTTGTCTATCTACAAGTCTGCATGTCCCAGGCACAAAGACACGGACCAGCGACACAACAATGCACACTGCCCGCACCATTCTGGAGCTGAAACCTCTCACCACACCCCCAAGTTGTTTGAAAGTGCCAATGTCCTGGGTCGATTTGGCCACAGGCGGGTGTGCCAAAGCAGATTTACTTGTTGACACTCCGACAACTCACGCGTTCGACTCACGCGAATGTCGGCCGCTGTTTAGCCATGCGGAGCCCTGCGCTGCTGTCCTGGACTGGGTCGACCCACAGCAGCAACTGCAGGTGGTGGTGGTGATTTCATAGGGAAACCCCTCTTGCTCCTCTCACCTTGGTAGGGGTGTCGGAACGCCTGAGAGGTCTTGCGATTTTTTCGCTACACATCCATGTGGCAGGGGTGCTTGTCACACTACGCTGGTAGTGCAGGAATGGACGGAACACAGTGAGAACCTGTTGTTTATTTCATGGTCCAGTTGACCAACGACTGGGAGCGACGAGTCACTGACCTTTGTCGCCGACTCTGTGAAAGGAGGAGACCTGGGAGGAGACGACGCTTCTTGTTCCACTCAACCTGTTGGGAGGCTTGTGATATATTCTTGTGATATGGTTCGAACCGGACGAAACCTGAAAGGTAGAGGGTTCTGGCCGAGGAATATTGAAGTCTAATTAGAGACATCTTGTTTGCCGGCCGATGTTGGACTTCAGTAGCCCTGATTGTTTCAACTATATATCAACTTCACAGTTGGCCCAATCGCTAAGAGATATATATTGTTTGCATGACGCATTCGATCGGATATTCTTTTTTGGACGGTGGGACGAGTCAACTTCGCAGGTGAATCATGGTGGATGGTTGAGCTTCATGCAGCTATAAAAGGCTTGGGAGATCAAAGCAGGTGTGTCTTCATGCCACAGCTGAATCAGTTAGACTGTTAGACTGTACAGCACCTAACATCAACCACTTCCTTTCTAGGATTTCGACACCAGCTCCAGCTTTTCACACTCTTTATTCGTCAGATGTTTCATGATGGAAAAACACAGAAAGCGTCCGTTTTCCGAAAGCTCTGCTGTCGCCATGGCCCTCCTTGCCACCATCCTCTTAGCCCATTGTTCACCTTCGGGTGCCAGCTTGTCCGGCTGGGCGCAGCAGGTTGAGAACTTCACATCCCATGCGTGGAGTCAGATCATGGCCGAAGACGGAGCCAAGCCCACCGAAGCACAGCACACGGCATATGGCTGGAATTGGGCTGCAGTTTGTTTGGGTAGCTTTCTGGTGCTTTGCCCTGCTTGCGGCTGTTTATGTTGCACCTATGCTGGCATCCTGGAGGACGACTTCGGTGCTGGCAGCTGGCTTCATGACTATGAACCCCTTGTGTGCGAGGACAGCGAGGCTGGCGCCAAGCAGCAAATCCAGGCGAAGGTAGGGCCCTTCGGGGAACCGAACCAAAGTATGCTGCTATATAATTAGCTGTGAAGCTATCCACCTATTTATAAACGCTAGCTTTAACCTGTGGTCTTAAACAGGTCCTTAAGCTTAACCAGGCGAAGCCAGGACCTTCCAAGTTCGGTGGTTTTGGACACCCCTTATATCACCTCTAAGAGGCTACGTATAGAATGATATAGACACCTCTTGGAGGGTGCTGGTGTATATATTCCATACCATATATATATTATACTTGTGTTGCAGCTGGTGGTATTGTTGAGGATGACTTTGGAGAATTAAAAAGGTGAATAAAAGGTAAAGAAAAGGTATCTGCAAAAGCTGAGACAAGAATCCAACATAAGTAGCAAAGCTGGGAAAAAGGTACTACAGTGCGTGCATTTGGGAGGCAGTTGTGTACAGATGCGCCCTGACGGACAGACCCACCTGGCTCAAAGAGCAAAGATTTCTTTCTTTTCTCTCCATCTCACTCCTTTCTCTCTCCTCTCTCTCTCTCTCTCTTTCTATACGTCTAAGGTCCGCATCTCACGCTTGGGAATTGGTAAGTGCTGGTGCACACCCTCAACAGCCACCTTTTTTTCACTTTTTGAAAACCATCAAAAACTCGAGGAAAAGGTGAAAAAAGGGTGAAAAAAAGTCGAAATAAAGGTGATACAAAAAGGTGAAGAAAAGGTGCGCCCAGTGGCAAAACCAGAAGTAAGCCCAAGTAAGTAAGTAGGCTGGACCCAGATCCAGGTACAGTTAGAACAAGTCTAGGAGTGTAGGACTTGACTAGGGCAAGGGCAGCAGCAAAAGCAGTTGAACGCATCTCTGCACTTGGAAGCCGTGTGCCTCTTTCAAGGTCCTCTCCTTTTTTTACGTAGCTGTTCCAGGGCGACCTTTTCTTCTCCTTTTTTTTAAGCTTTTTGCAATCATCTTTTTTTCACCTTTTTTTCACCTTTTATATTTTTCAAGGTTTTATATGCAATACCCAAACTTGGACAAGTCAATATTATACGATAAGATACAGTCGAAGGTGTTAGTTGGGCCAGGAAACCTGTAACAGTCGGTAAACAAGAACACCACTATTGTAGAGAAAGGCCCGCATCTGAACCATCATCATCCACATTCATCCATAATCCATTGCTACTGGTAGTGGGATATACCCCCTTTATACATATATAAATATAGAGTATATATAGTTTGAAATATTATTATACAGTCGAATGCAGTCGAAGGTTTTAGGATGCAAGCTGCTTGTCAGTTTGTTTACTGTATGTTTGTTTAGTCTTTTGTGTTTCTTGCTTACAGGCTCAAGGAACCAAGTTTTGCTGATGACAAATATAAGTATGTTAGACCATGCCACTTTTGCTTAAAGGGAAATTGATCAAACTGAAACTGTTTTTGTTGATGCCAGTGGAACAGGTTGCGAGGCGAGAAATGAGAATGATGCTTCTTCTTCCCCTCCTTCCACTGTTGGCGCTGCCCTACACGACCTGCTCAGAGGGATCTCCCTTGTGGCTCTATGCCATCTACGTCCCCTTCCTCCTCCGAAGTAAGTACGTCGAGCTTGAGCTGATGCAGGCACTCCCTGCTGAGTTCCCAGACCAAGCAGAGTCGGCACTTCCCTGGGGCTTCTGGCTTTGGCTGGATTTCCTGGTCTTTGGCCCGCTGGAACATTTGGACTTCTTTACCGATGGTGCCGCTCCCATCCAGGCAGACTTGAAAACACGCAACCCTTTGATGGAATTGAAATCTCTTTGACTGAGGCAAGAAAAATCATGAGAATACAGACAATGTCAAACTAATGTCTTCAATTCAAGGACTTTTTAGTTGGACTTTGTTGTAGCATTCCTTCTCAAAGTGGAGATCACCTTATATAACTATCGATTTGTTAGTCCTCCGACTCCACCAGGCTTGGTACTGCGACGCAGACCTCAATGTCTCAGATCGCTTGGCAGCAGCCTGGGCTGAGAGTGGTGCCAGTTGGGTGGCGCCGTTGGTTCAACGTTTCCGTCTTTGGGGGCTCATGGCCGCGGTCTTCGTCATGGGGGCCACGGCCCAGCTTTCAATTGGCACCTTGGATGCGGAGTTTGCGTGCGACTCTGCCACCCTGCTGGGCTATGCCAAGCTGCGAGACCGGTATCAAAGGGAGAACTCAATGATCAGACGTGCTGTGGTGAGCATCTCCAAGGTGCCTAGCTTTTGCGGATCGGGTGATGTCTGTATTTTCCCAAGGTTAACTGCCCGTTTGGTGAATAATTTTTTTTTCCCGTGTTCCTTAAGCATCTCCAAGGTGTTTGGTTTTTGCGGATCGGGCGATTTGGTATTTTTTTGCATTTTCCCGTTTTCCTTAAGCATCTCCAAGGTGTTCTTGGAGAACATTCTCCAGCTAATGTTGCAGACCAGTCTTTTAGCATTGGTGTTTGATTACCTGACACCGCCTGGTAGGGCCAAAGCGCTCTTCAGCATTTCTTTAGGCCTTTTCAGTGCGGTGAAGAGCACCGCCAATGGCCTGATCGTCTTCATCTCATTTGCCGTATGCTATTCTTGTTTTGCGCTCCCTCTTCTTGCCCTCAACCTGGTGGGTCTTGCAGTTGTTGCATGGACACTGCTGAAATTGCTTCACATCTTTCAATGCCCTTCACACCTGTGGAACTTCACAGGCTGCGTGCGCCCCTAGGTCCACTAGGTCCATGTTTCACCAGATCCCAACCGCGGGTCCTCTTGGACTGTCCAGGGACTCCGCGCCCGAACGCGTTTGCCGCGTGCCCGGAGCCGGATTTGCTGGGGAGAGCCCGGTCGTCCATGAAGGCCAAGAATCTGATTTGCTGTGGGGGTCAAGACCTGGACCTTGTACGCTCCTGGTAGGTGGTGGACAGAACTAGCTGGGTGGATCCGTGCTGGGAATGTGCTTAGCAATCGACTGAAAGCACCCGCGTGTATCCGTGTAGAACACCATTCCAACTGATGCCGAAAACGGTAGACTCTACGGTTTGGCTTCTTAATTCATAGAAATGACAGAAAAGGATCATGTCAAATATTTTGGGGATCATCCTTTAGCATAATCAACCTTTGGAGGACGGTTTGGGGATCAGGCTGTTGATTTGGGATTCAGACATGATAGAATAGGTCATAGTAATAGGTTTGAATATCTTTGAATGTTAGTTCACAATGACATGGATTTGCTTCAAGTATTGCGAACATGGCATCGTGAGTCATAGAGTCACAGACAGAGCAAGTTAGACTTGCTCAATCATCCAACAAGTGAGCCCCCGTCACAGCTTTTGAGGCACAGCTTTTTGAGGCACAGTTATCTCCATGCGAGCCGAAGGAATTGATTTTAGACAAGATTCCTTTGAAGGAACTGATGCCCCCTTTGGCCGAATAGGGATTTATGCCTATCTATTTGCCCCGCAGCATGAAAACAAATTCGACCGTGCCTGCAAAGCACTCCGAGAAGATATGTATGCCATCCGAGGGTCGCACGGGCTCGGTCCGGGTCGACGGCTGTGGACCGTCGCGACGACGTCGCAGTGACGATGCTCTGGGTGACACTGAGGACTTGGTGTAGCCAGCGAGATGGAGCCAGACCAGTGAGAAGCGAAGATGAAGTACAGAGAGTTCGCACGAATGTTCTATAGAGAATTGGGGATGATGTGTGATTCAGAGTCAATCGCCACTCCAACTTGGCTCATGCACCATCAGTGTTACTTCTTCAGTTCGTGACGAGCAGTCCCCCGCTCAGCAGAGGATGAGGAACCAAACTTATGCTGTATTTTCCTGATTGACTCAGATCATCCTGATTGACTCAAAGTTAAAGATCTGAGAATCTAATTCGGCATTTTTCACCCCAAGAAGCAGGATTTGCGTGGAAGTGGGCCGCCAATGTCCAAGCAGTTTTGCAAAGACATGCCGTTTGTTTTTTTCTGAAAGGCTACAACGGCACGTCCAACAGCTACATGAAGCGTTTTCAGAAAGGACATATGGTGTCCAAATGTTTCCAATGTGGAAACATGTGTGTGTACCCATCATATTCTGCGGTTTTCTCCCTTCAGCTGAGGCTTCTCCTTTCAGCTTTCAGGACTTGTTTGTCCACTTAAGCTCCGAGCATCCGATGGAGCGTCCCGTAATTGTCCAGCGGTCCAGGGACTCGCTCGCGGTCGGCAAAAGCTGAACTCGAAGGAACTCGTTCGACTCCGTGCCCTGCAGTGATATCCCCTAGGGATCCAAGTGCCTTCTCAGAAGGTGTTTGGAGACACTGTTATGTAGGTTTGGAGGCTCCAAGTACCTTCTGAGAAGGTACTTGGATCCCCAGGGATCGTCAACCCTTTTGTTTTTTTGTTTTGTTCTTCGGAGAGATGGGAGCTCTGTGTGGATCCGTCATGATCCACGTACCTTGGATTTTGCGGCTGATTTCAGGGCATTTGGGGGGAACTTTTATCTAGAAAGACGTGGAGAATCCACGTCCCTCCGGCACTCAGAGAGATGCCAGAAATGTAGATCTGGAACGTCTCAGACACAGCACCTTCCTTATGGCGCCTTACGCTCACCTGAGTCACTTGTTTGGAAGGCCCTATCTATCATACTTACTCCAGGTAGGATGCTCCGTCAAGAAGCTCCAGGTCCATCCGAATTCCCCTCCCAGCCGCCCTCTCAGGCTGGACGTGGGCTGCTCCGCCGACCCCGTGGACCGCGACGGCCGCTCGGCGCTCAGCTTCGCGGCGGAGGCCGGGCACTTCGCCATGGATGCTCGGCTGGGGAGGCTGGAGGGTGGCCGACTGGGTGTGTGTGGGAGACCGACGTCCGAGCGGAGCGGACGAGTTCCTGGAATTGAGGAAGTTCGAACTGACTTTAAATTCACATGTACCGTAAATGTACCGCAAATGTAATATGTTTACATTTCAACCTCCCCCCGGTATCAAGGTGTTTCAACCCCATGGGGTGGGTGATTGGATCCAGAGTCAGCAAGTGGGGGAATGGATCGGAAATGAGGTGTTCATCATCCAGAAAAAGAAACGAGGGATTGCAGATTGGAGCGATCGTGGTTTGAAGAGGTCAATGAGTCATGTGCTGTATGATGACTTGATCTGCAGGGTCGATGTAGCGCTTAACGTCGTGGTCAAGGCACATGGAGATGGATTAATCATGCAGGATAGATGGGAAGCACAGCAGGGAAGCACCCGTATACTATGCATATTTGTAATTACTTGTATGTCAAAGATGGTCAAAGTATACTCCTTGGACTTCTTGCATCTATGTTGGGCGTGGTCTGAAGAAGGCCCAAAAACCGCTGGTCTTTTCGTCCCGGGTCTAGAAGGCCCCTCTAAGGCCGAACATGGGATCACGAAGCAGTCTCACTTAATCAAATTGGGGTTGCCGCCGTTAGCCGTTGCCTCAATGGATCTGGTTTGGGGCAAAGCGTGTTCCCACGTCCTTCACCCGAAACGCTCAAACCGAACTGGTGGAACGTGCAGCCGACGGCAGCCGTTCCGTGGGAACGGATGCCCGACCCGCCACACAGCCCCTATACGACCCTTCTTTCAGCCACTGAGGGCCTTTGGTTTCGGCCTTCTCATGGCATCGGTGAAATCTCCGCTTTTGGGATTCCGAGTTGTTAGGACTCTATAGTCATCTCTAGTCTCTATATTCAAACTGATCTATCAGATCCAGTTGTTGGTTGACCTTCAGCTTCTCAAAGGCCGTGATTTCGGATGTGTTCATGAGGAGTTCGAGCAAAAACAGGTTGCGTCGACAACTCGTTGATGCTGGTTCGGGGAATCAGGGCCGCCAGGGTAGTCAGTGGTAGATGCGGCGACATTCGAAGAGTTGACTGTTCATTTATTCATCGCTTCATCACCCCTAATTTTGGTTATCAGGGTAAATGAGTCTTCTTCTTCCCTGCATCAATGCTTCTTCAAGGAAACTCCCCCCACCTGAGGGCGGGGGGAAGCTTCCTCCTTCACAAGCGCTCACACTAATGATTTGGTTTGTGGATGTTTGACGAATGGACTAGATGTCAAACCAACAACGCCAAAGAAACAGAACCTCCAGATTGTTGGCCCATCTCAGAGGGTGGCCCTGAAGGTGCCCCCATGTCACATCCACTCTTCCGCAAACTAACATGGAACCTGAGAATTGACCGGTGGAAGACCATTTTCCTCTACAACCCAGTGGTTTTGGGGTTCCATGTCAATCTGTAGGCAGTACAGGCCCCAAAGTTCTTCCGCTCAGATGCTCCGTTCACAGCCCTTGGTCCTTTAAGGGCTATGGATTTGAGACACCAGACCCCTCCAAAGGATTCGGGTTCGATTTCACTCCATCATCAGGATTCAGGGTCCGAACGGGTCGCATTTGGGCAAATTGCTTAAGACTGCAAAAGGGGCTGCCGTGGCCACTTCTGCATTGACCGAGGTGAAGATGCTCATGGACGCCGCAGAGTTGCAGGAAAGAGTCGCAGGGGACAGGACGGAGAGTCGCGGAGTTGGTGGATGGCAAAACCCAGAAAAGAGTTGAGTTGGAGGTTGGAGTTGAGTTGGTGGATGGTCTTTTTTTTTCCTGGTTACCTCAGGGAGTCAGTTGGCCCAGCTTTGCTCCCAAGGCCAAGGCCAGCATTGACGAAGTGGACCGTTGGGGCCGATCTCCCTTGCTGCCTGGCTCCGAAAATTCATTGGTCCGCCATTCCCAGTGCATCCAGTGCAAACCGTAGACCTAGAACCCCCCGGTTCCTTATACACTCCCTGAAACAAGCATGGAAGTGGACAATGGCCCGTTGGATGACCATGCCATCCTCTACAAACAGGTGGTGCCATCCACGCAACCATGATGATTTCAGGGAGTGTAATGAGCAGGGGCCACAAGATCCCATGAGCAGGGGCCACAAGATCCCATGAAGAGTTTTGGAGGAAAAACCGCCATTGACTTTGTAAAACTCTGTATTTCATCACCGTGTGGTCTCGATAGGAAACCCTGACGTGCGATACCTGTTCCGGGAAGGTGTCATCATGTGTCATCTCACAATGATAGTTTGAGAATTATTGAATCTTTTTGACATAGAATTTGGAAAACCCTGGTTTCTGGAGCGATAACCAAATCGATACCAAACGATACCTGGAGCGATGCCTCAGAAGTTGCCACGTCCCCATGTGCAGAGCAAGAATCCTCCGGGTTGAGAGAGATTGTGGGTGTTGTTATTAATTGGGACTGTGTGGAGCGATAGGGAACCTTGAAGAGCGATACCATGGCACCAGAATGACTAGCATGTGGGCTGACCGCCGCATGTTTTGACCGTGGCAACTGGGATTCACTGCAGTTTGCTTCAGCAGAACTCCTCCCACTTGCACCATCATGGCACATGGTAAAGCAAACATGGGGACTCACCCACAGCCAAGTAGACCATTGGCACACGAGCACTGCTTTGATGCCGTGCAAGAGAGCACAAGTTCCACGGACTTCCAGTCTGCATGTGAGCACTGCGAGCACCCTGTCAAAACCTGTCCTTATGTGGAGGCTGGACATCGTTGAACATGCGATGACCTCGGTCGTTCGGAGACACCTCTTGATGTGCTGGATCCGCATGCAAGTCGGCATGCGGATGATCAAATGAATGCCTGGACGGCGTGCTAATGTTCTGTCGCCCGTTGCGGGCGTGCACGATCATAAGAGGTTGTGCGAAACGCAGTCGGACGTTGCAAACAATGCAAACAACCAGACTCACCAGAGGGGAATTTGAGTGAGTTGCTGCAATTCACTACATGAGTCATCTGGTTCAGCCTGCTTCGTGACGGTGGGTCTGAGGTTCATTGCCGCAGAAGCAGGCGCGCCTCAGAAGCGTCGTCCCCCTGGGTTCCTGGCCTTAAGCCCTCCGTTCAGTGCGGTTCCGGTTGTGGTTCCGGGTGGAGTTTCCGGTGGTCTAATCAATGAGGAGACGCGACAGGAGCCCAATTGAAGGGGAATGTGCAAGAGGAGTGCAATGCATGAGTTGTGGGCTAGATTACGAAAGCCAGCCTTCGTAGAAGGCGCTAGCGGAGTTGTGTCTGGCGAACGAAGTGAGTAGTTAGGGGGTCTGGGGGGGTGGCCCGAGAAAGGGACACGTCAACTCAGCACATGCTGGGGGAGGAGGGTGCTCCGAGGGAAGGTTTTTTGAGGTTGTGTTGGAGGTGATTTTTGAGGGTGGTGATGCAAGAAATGCCAAATGCATCATTTGCATCATCTGAATGGAAAGGTGTAGTTGGCACCTTGCAAGGTAGAGAGACCTAGGGTAGCTATAGTGCAGCTACCAGGTATAGTACTTCAAGTTCCCTTTCCGTCAACCGCTTGAGAACCTCTACACACGCACAGCAAGCCACAGCCTTGAAGTCTCATTCGTGCTTTGAACTTGTATAGGTGTGTAAGAGGTATAGCAACATACTACCTGAGAAGCTGCAAAACGAAAGCCAGCGCTTCCCTTTCTCGAGAACTGCGCGTCGAAGCATAGGATAGAAAGGTAGGTCTGCACCCTAGATCCACCATCCCACTCCATTTTCTTTCATTTCTCTACGGCAGCTCCGCTTGGCATTTGCCAGGTGGAGGCGGCCGTGAGACCTCTTACACACCTACACAAGTTCAAAGCACGAATGAGACTTCAAAGCTGTGGATTGCTGTGCGTGTGTAGAGGCTATCGAGCGGTTGACGGAAAGGGAACTTGAAGTACTATACCTGGTAGCTGCAAGCAAGGTGCCAACTACACCTTTCTTTTCAAGGTGGCCTGAACAGAGTGTTTCAGGGCAGTAAACCGTGGTCTCAGGCCACCTTGAATTTAGCTTGAAAACCACAGCT